CCGTGCCGGCTGCTCGAGCACCCGCTGTGCTCCAGCGTGCGTGCGCTTGTCAGCTCCAGGGTTCACCGTATGGGCTAGTTGAGTCCGCTCTTGACTCTGGCTTGAGGCCACCCTCCAAAAGGTCAGGATCAAAACAGGTATCTCTGTGTGCCAAGTGACTGTCACCAGTGGGGTGAAACAAAGAGGCCACTGCTCACATTCTCAGCCTCCTTTTTAAAGCTCTCACTACTTGGAGTATGTGCTTGGGAATACACAGAATTAGGAGAGGGGAAAAAAACAGCACTGTGAGCAAAGGGTATGAACATGGTGATGAGGAGAGTGAGGAGAGCAAGAATATGGGGTAAGCAAAGGAGGACAGCTGTTCCTCCTGTGGCCAGCTTGGTGGTGACGAGAGGAACGCTGGCTGGTGGATGCACAGTGGATTGGATGTGGTGCAGGAGCTTTTGTCACATTTGGACTGCAAATGTATGGGAGAGCTGTAAGCAGTGCTGCTTTCACTGGCCAAACTCATTTCATTACTAGAGCTTCCTTGTATCCTGCTGTCCCTTCTCCTTTGCCACCCCTCTACAACCTCCCCACTCACCCATCCTGCCAGCAGCTCTGCGTCGCTCCCCTGCCCCAGCGTGCCCCCCCCCATCGCCTGCTGTGCCTCCGCAGCCTGCACTCCACTGCAGCCTACAACTGTTTTCCCAAAATTTTTTTCCTTCCCCTTTCCCATTTTTCCTTCTCTCTGGTTTTAAAAACACTACAGTGAAAGTAAGAAAGTTGTGTAGACAGAAGGCCGATTTTAGCCGTGGTACAAGCAAATGCAGCTTCTGTTTCTTGGGCGTTATGTTTGCTAACTCCCGAGTGGCTTTAGCCTGTAACTGGTGCTGTTGAAAACTGTTGCAGGCAGAATTTGCACGCTTGCTTTCAAGGCAGCTGTGATAATGGCAGCCCAAACAGTTGCTCTTTCTGAGTCTTATTTACAAAAATGATTTACCTTATCCACCAGAGAGGTGGTTTAGCTCAGTGATGTTGCCTCTGGACCAGCACAACCTGGTAATATCCTAGGCTGCTCGCAGGCTTTGGATCCGAAGCCTCCTGGTGCGCACTCTCCAGACTTTTGCATAAACCTGGATGCGGAGGCTGAGGGGCAGCCCTGGGAGCCCCAGCCTCCTGCAGCCTGCCATGGAGAAGAGTTTGTGTAGCTGCCTGGTGACCTTGCTTGAGCAGCAGTAAAATCCACAGCTAGCATATGCTGCAACACAGGTGCACCAAGATGCGCTTCTCGGTGACAGAGAGTTTTTATGATAAAGCATATACGTGATGCACTCTTGATTAAAGTCTCCTGCTAACAGCTTAGTGTTTTGACTCAAATATGTGGAAAAAGTCCCAGCCTTAAGCTCCTATTTCTTGAAGTCAAGCTTGCCCTGGCACCTTCGTGACATTGTTAGTGGAGAGCAGACAGCTAGACCGAACAGGCTGTTGCAAGGCTAGAAATGGTAAATAGCTCTGGCTTGTGCCATCCTTCTTTGGGATTACTTTGGGAATTGGATTTCTCTTGGAAATGAATGAAAAGTCAGTTTTTTGCAATACTACTAATGTCTTCTGTTTTCTTCCTCCATTATGAGCCAAAGCAAGCGGCTCACTGGCAGCCTGGCACCTCCCAGGGGCTGTGTTCCCATCACATGGAGAAGGTCCAGGCTCTCAAGGGTAGCACTCCAGACTGCATCATTTGCACCCTTATATAGAGTGCAAATCCGTCCCACCTAAAAGAAAAAGTACTCGGCGAAATGTCTGTTACTTACAGCATGCTTTGATCCCTACAGTGGTCTTTTTTTCCTGTGGGAAGAGGGCAATCTGGCCCAACCTTCAGAATGCACAATTTTATGGGACAGGCAAATCCGCCTGAGTTTTAAGTTACAGCGCTGGTTTTCTCTAAGATCTCAACCTGCAGTTTAATCTTGAGTGGAACAAAATTGTTACATTCATTTTTTAAGAGTCAGACATCTATATTAGCAATCAAGCCTACAAATTGTGCCTTCTGGTTGAACTCGGTAGACTCGCAGCTTTCTGTAACTGAGACTGCAGCATGATAAAGAGCTCTGTTATGGCTTCACATATTGATCAGTCCAATTTAATTTCCTCATGGGACTTGGACCACACTAGGGATGATGGATTGTATTGAAGGCCTGATAAGCCTATTTTAACAAAACATCTGAAGCACTTCTAGACCAGAGGCAGTTATCAATACTGATGCATGTTTCCTTTCATCAAAAGTTAAGGGCTCATTAATAGGCTGCACAGCAGCCGCTGCTTGCAACACATGACTTTTTTTAAATTGACTTGGTGATACTGTTTCCTCAGCCTTATAAGTAGGCTTTTTTCCAGAAGGAAAAGAAATTGTGTTCCAGGTTGTGATTTTAATGGTGTGTGTGATAGCAGTATCTGCTGTACTGCTATATTCAGTATTTTGGGAATTGAAACCTAGATTATATTCTAGAGAGGGAGTCCCATCCCACTGCTTATGCCCATGTCTGAACTGCCCACAAATCCTGGTGTCTTACAACTTTTGAATTTTGTGTCAGGTTACTGATGATGTCTGCTATTTTTAATGTTAGTATTACTGATTAAATAGTCTCCTGTCATAACTTTGTCAATTAGCATTTTTTTTGGCATTGTATTTTTCAAAAATGTTTTTAAACTGTGCTTATTTTAGGCTCTCAGTTATGAGAAGGAAGCTCCTTGTTGCTTCTGACTGTTCTACCTTTCCTATACAAAAATCCTAACTTTTCAGTTATAACCTATGTGACGTAGGTGTGTTTTTGGTGTTAAATTCATACTGCTATTTAATGTTGCAGATTGGATGGATGTATGGAAAGAAAATATGATCAAGGCAACTGCTATGTTAAATTTGATTTTATGCACGGTTTTCAGATAACCAGCTAGAGGTTTAGTGCCTTACAGAAGTGTTTTTCTTAGCTAGTAGGAGGGGTTGCGTTTGTTTTATTTATTCATCAGAAAACTATTTAAACCATTTAACACTTGCTATAGTGTTTTCTGTTTTCTTTTCCATTTCACACACATTATCTCATTAATTAGCACAGTTCTGCTGATTAATGCATGGATTGAAAGTCAGCAGCAACACGTTCCAAGGAATATTGGAAAATACCTTTGTTTCTAAGCATAGATGAATGTGGATGGGTGATACTTAGAAAAAATTGGACAAGTAATTGAGTTGCAGCAAATGTAATTGCACAACAAACCAAATTCTGTCACTGCGTCAAAATCCTATGTTGCACATCTGGTGCTTCATGAAAAGTGTCACCTTACCTGATTTTTCTTCTTTTTTTGATATTTGGACTTCTAGAATCATTCACTCAAGTGACAGCTACAGTTTTCATCATAAAAAAGAAACATTTAGTGCTGGTAGCTGTTGCTTAAAATTGCGAGTCAAATGTGTCTTAGAAGATCAGAAATAGGAAGTTAGATGAAAAGAAATATATTTTAGTTCTGTAGGTAACCTGGAACTCTTTTGAAGTTGTAACTCGTATCCAACCATTACTGCAGTTCATGGTACTGAAGATCCCATGAATGGGAGATGGCTGCTACGGTTAATGCCCTCCAGGCTGCTGTTTACTGTCAATTCTCTTCCCCAGTTGTTGTCGTGACTAAAATGTGAAGATGAGTGGGTTACTTTAAATTACCAGATTAACCACTTAATTTTACAAACACTGGAGCACTGAAAGAACAATAATGATGCGGGAAATCCCCTAAACTCACCTAATATTCAGTATATTCTGGATTTCATCCTGTAAACATACTGATGGGGCCAGTTCAGACATTCCTACTGCTGTGATGGAGCCAAGTGTGCTTTTACCCAACAAGTAGCTCCTTTGATTTCCATGGCCTATAATCCTTATTAAAACGGTGCAATTCAAAGTGGTGGGTTGAATGTCACGGATTAGCAGGATTAAGAGCAGTTTCAGCACGCGCTAGGCCTTTGCTTACTTTCTCACTCCTTAATTGTCCCCCCGTGTTCCTCTTGTCAGGGTCTGCTCCATGCGACAGCCCACCGTAGGCTACCTGCTCACACCACTGCGCAGGGCAAAGGAGCAGAGTCTGCTTTTCGGGAAGGGGTTGTAATTGGGTTCGTATTTTGGAGGTCATTATTATAATATGTACAATATGTATAATATGTAGCAGGTTTCAGCTACAGAATAGAAATTCCTGTTTTTAGGAATATACAGTGCTCGAAAAAATAGCAATTATTTGGTTCTGAAATGGAATAAACTAAGTAAACAGTATAATGCATGGGAATGTTCCCTATACCTGCTTTTCTGGAATATATGTTAATTAACATCTTAAATAGTGGGACGGTAACACTGTTTATCACTGGTTTTAAAACTTAATGCTATGTTTAATTATGTCCCTCACTAGTTTTGGTAGCTGAGGCCCTGAAATGTGAGGTTGTTTGTTTTTTGTTTTTTTTTTTTAATAATGTAATCAATGTTATTTTAAACAGTGCTATTCATTATTTTGTCCTTAAATCTCTAGGTGCTGAAGTGTTGTATATGAACATGTCGGCATACAACGAAGGCCGGCTTCAGTCATCTTTCTGGATTGTTGATAAACAACACGTGTACATTGGAAGTGCCAGCCTAGACTGGAGATCGTTGGGACAGGTAATCTAATTGAAAAAATAATCCTATACCCTTTGAGGGTACAACGAGGAAAAGAAGTAATGTTCTGAGGCCAGCAAGTGATGATGGATAGCTTTATTTTCCTGATAGTTTGTTGGCAGAAGTGCCAGCATCAAAAACTGTGCTGCCACAGTTTTAATGACTCTTCTGTGTTGGCAAAAGTATATTACTATAAATTTTACTTTTTTTCACTGAAATAGCTATCCTCAACAGTTATGCTTTGGGTTAAATTTTAAAAATTTGATTGCCTTTATTGATTTCTGTGATGATTGTGGTGTTTGAAGATTGTAAGTCCTAGCTTACTTATTAAAAAAGAAAAAAAAACCCAAGTGAGCAAACCTGTTGGAAAACAAATCACTATGGAGACTCATAGGTAGTGTCGTGAGCATGACTTCGTCCCTCTCACCTGCCATTTAAATAAGGAAAAGCAAAATTTGGAAAAACTTCCAAATTGCTAGTGGGTATTATCCCAAAGTACCCACCACCTCTTGGAAGGGGGAGAATTATGGGTACAGAAAGTCAAATAGCATAATGTTATTGAAGGTTGTACATATTAGAGAGAATTACCTAATTTCATTCTTCATAACCAAGTGAGTTGAAGGACGTACAATAAGGCTTCTTTGCCATCAACCAGTGCTGAGGACTCTCTACACCCTAAGACCATTTTGAAAAAGTAATTAATCAGTAATGCAGCTTATTGGCCTTCTTGTAGGTATCTGTAGCTTTTTGCTTTCCCCAGCAGTCTTAGGGTTATTAAAGGCTGTAACGTTTAGTTTTGCTACATACCACTGACTATGTGAGGCTGCTGTTGGTCATATTTAGGGAGCGGAACCTGGGCTTTTAGAGCTTGGTAATTGTAATGCACAACAGAGAGGAAAAAGCAGCAGTCCTGGGTAGTTATTAGTTGCAGTAAAAAAACCCTTCCTTTCTAAATGTGAGCAGACTCTCAGAAACACTTTAATAATTTTAAACATAAGTTCTAATGATTTTGTAAAGAGGAAGGTGTGTGGTGGTTGTGCTGAAGTTTTTAAGGTTTGTTTCGAGCTAAGAGTCTGAAAGTCTGAATAAAAACAAACCAACCATTTTAGTAAAGAAAGAGTGAATACATACATTTTTCTGTTCCTATATGTATTAATTTATTTAAAAGGTAACTTTTTGAATGTTGACAAAGGAATATGGAAAACTGGTAGAAAAGAGGATGTTGTTGGCAAACCAGAGAGTCTTGGCCAAGAAGATGTTTTGTTCGTAGTCAGTGTAAGAATATGTAGTTTGGGCTTTTGGGTGGTGCAGAAATTAAATGTTTATACATTGTCTGTGCCTCATGAGCTAAACTGTTCATATGTCATAACGAAACAGCTTTTCACAAACTATTTAGTTTATAAATAGTTTAGCTTTGAAGCCTCTTCTAATTGGGGTTTTGAGTACCAATGAAAATAAACGTGGACAAAAGCAGCACATCTACCACGCAGATTATTATATTTAATGGTTGTGTTTATTATCTTCATCACAGATGCTACAGTTCCTTATAGAATTGGTGGTCTTATACTGAAATAAATCTTCACTCCTGTAACATACCTACATCAAACTTCGATGCCACTTCTTTGTTAAGCCAGTGTTTCAAACGTGATTCCTCACTTTTGATTTTATCACTCTCTCTTCTGCATGCATTTGGACTTTTTTTTTAATCTGATCATAATATAACAGTATATTTTTATATATAGTCGTAAGATGAAGCTCAGAAGAATATTTGTACAGAGCCAAAAGAAATCTCTCTGAATTGCAGTTAAAGAGAATCTGCTTTCAATTAGTTGAGAAATGTACGCTGGGGTTTCAGAAGAGCCTAAGGAAATCAGAAGCTCAGCTCCCGTTGACATCAGATATGAGTATCCAGTTGCCTTACCCCGGAGTTACAGGTTAATAAATCAGGGCAACTCTCAAAGAGATCTGGTACGCAGTCCTAAAATAATAATCTGTCTTGAGCTTTTCTTTTCACGTAAGAGGCAAAATAAGCACAGAACTCTGACATTCCAGGAGTGTTTTCCTTGAGGAAAATGCTTTGCACACGCACGGGACCTCATCTTAAAACCCACGGTGAGCCGAGCCCTCACTGGGGCAATACACCTTCCACAGGTCCTCATTATCAGGGTCCCAGCGTAGCTGCAGATGAAGGATTAGGTCCCTCTTCTCTCAAAGCAGCCTAAATGAGTAATGACCGAGGTTAACTGGGAAATGGCCGAGCAGATGCCCTTGCGCTTGCGCTGCCTGCAGTAGGGCTGGGTCGGGCTTCTGCAGCTTTGCAGCGGGAGGCAGATGGTCCTGCACGTCTCCTGATACATCCTGGGTTACCTGCAGAGGAAGGGCCGTGAAAAGGCGGACGGGGCTGCTGGTAGTCACGTACGGTCTCTTTAAAAGCTTATCTGACTTCTAGAGTAACAGAACTGTCGTGATTGAATCAGCAAACCACTTTGGCTGGTTTTACTAGACCTTGATAGCAAATCGCAGGATAGTGGGTCTCTGCTGTTCTGGCAACGTACGGTACTTTGGCCTATCAAGCACTCCAGTTGTCTTCTCACTCAAGTCAGTCACCTTGTAGCTACCAATGTCTCGTTGTTCAGCAGCGCAGTTACGGTGTAAATTGTGTGAGTGCATCCAGTTTCACATCTAATAATACCTAAAATGCAATGACTTTAAGATTTTAACTGTGCATACTTTTAACAGGTCTCGATTTTCTGTCAGGGGTGCATCTTCTGCTGTTGTTAGCAATATATGGCAAGCGTTGCCCAATTACATAACCCGTGGAAAATTCCGGGTCACGAACAGCCAAGGGTTGCTTTACCACTTTCTTAGACAGGTACCACTGTCTTAGATACATAGTAAGCTGTGTAAAATTTTATCAGTGAAATAATCTTTCTAACGATCTGCTTTCTTTCTGGTACATTTTTGTAAACTGATAAAATGGTGCAAAAACTGTATTTCAGGTCTTTCAGGTTTACCAGCTTGATGAAAGACCTCTGGAGAGATGGTCTCTTGTTCTTTGTGGTGCTGTTCTGCCTTCAAAATGTGAATTAAGGGGGGTACTAGAAGAGGGGAATTATGAAGATAATATTTTAAATCACACTTTGAACTTTTAATTTCTTATAGGAGATCTGTGTCATCAGTTGTACAACTTCCACCTTCTTTTTCACTGACATGCATTTGCTAACGGATGCAATAGATAAAGTATTTTCCCAGAGTCCTCAGGCTCTCATCAAGAAGTTAGTCTTGTAACCATTGAACAAGCCAAGTAATATCTTTGGGCCATAGCTGTGCAACCTACTTAACTATATAGTTAACATGTTGAAGTTTATTTTTATTCAGCAAAATGTGCACATCTATGTTAAAAAGTTTGGCTGAAAAAGGATTCAATCAAACATTCCTAAAATTAAGCACATATGCTTACTGATTAATTTTTGCCTGTGGTTTGAACTAATAACAATTGATGTGGCCGTGGTGCTGTATCCTAGTTTCTAGTTCCTTGACCAGGTAGCTTATTAATGTAGTTAAGTAAAAGAAATTGGTTACATAAAAATTGTTATAATCCATAATACTAATGCAGAATAAGAGCCAACAAGAAGTGCCATATATTTCTTTTGTTCCATGACTCCCTCCAATAGTTCCAGCAAAGCTTGAAAACGCATTTAGCTCTTTACTTCTGTTAAGGAGCGTGAGGATTGTAGTACAGACAGAACCTTTAATCAGCACAAGAAACACTACTGGAGCTCTTCATGCTAACAGCATATTTGGAGAAGTTTTATTCACACGTAAATAATTGAATCCAGTAGGCAAACAACTGTAATGAATTAGTTGAACCACTTCAGAAAAATACATTTATGCGCAACAAGTATCAGCCCTTGGAAAATTCTACTGCTGAAAATTATTCAAACAAGTAAAATAGTCTTCACTGGAGGTAGAATCAGGCTAATATTAAATACCCTTGTAGGCAAAAAAATAGCTTAAGTCATGAATACTTACAAGTAGCAGGTAGTTGGGTGTATGTGTGGGGGTTAGCATCCAAATTTGAATGGTCAAGGTCTCAAGCAGAAGCCTGCTGCTTGCTCCCTGTAATCGGTGGAGTCTGACTGTCTCCAGTACAGTCAGGCTGGAGTCCTCCACTTACTGAAGAGACATGAGACAGAACCACCAACTGGAGGCTGCTCACCTTGTGCTTCTGCACAGAAACTGTTTAGATTGGTGGAAAAGTGAGCCTTGGCTTGCCAAAAAATAAGGGGTGTCAGAAAGAAGTGGTCTTGGAAAAAAGAAGGGGACCCGAACAGAAGAAGGTGAAGTTCCTGGCTGGAGAAAAGATCCTGGAAGTGTGGGAGATCCTGGAGATCAGGGAGCTGTGAGGAGATGGAAGCTAGGAGATGCAGCAGGGACACTGTCTGGTGATGCCTGAGACAGGTAACGATGAGCAGCCACACAGCAGAGACAGACCCGACTTTCTGCCTGAGCGTCCCGGGCCAGCAGCCACCTCCCTGCAGGGATGGAAGGTACGGGTGGACGGTGTGAAAGACAGTCGAGTAGTTGCAAAAGCTGTCATCTTTTGGTTCTTAAACAAACCCCAATATTCAGATCCACTGCAGGTACTCATTTACTCTATCTTGCCTGTGACATCTTAAAAGCGTTATCTCAAAAAATCCTACTTAAATTTTGGCTCAGATGACGCTGAGGAAAAGTTCCTAAGCAGACCTATGATTTTCTCGCTTAGCCAGCTGTGTAAAAACTGCTAGCAAAGGATTTTTCTTTTTAAGATGGCTTGCAAGTCCATGTATTTTCTGGATTGTTTCTTCTTCTGATTGTTTTTAAATTCAGACCAGTTTATGCTGAATGTCTGTAAGGTATAATTTTTTTAAGGACAAAAAAAAACAACCAGGCTGTAAAACATACTTTCTTTAGAGACAAAAACCCAACCTTGTCAACTTGCTCTCATTTTCCCACTTATT